CTGGAGTATTCTTCAATATTTCTAGCTCTTTTCTGAATTTATTCAGAAGTTTATCCCTATCTTCCTTCCGTTCTTTGATTTCTTTGTTTGTGTGTTCTTTAAATTCACTGAATTCTTTTATCATGCTTATAATTGTTCTTTTGAGTTACATGTCCTCCATTATCTCTAGGGGGTTCTCATTGTACTCCTCTAGATGACTATTGGTATTTGGTGGGAATAAGTTATTTTGGTTTTTCATGTTATTTTTTTCCTCTGGGATTTTCACATGTGAATTTCTTTTGTAGTTTCTGATTCTTGTGTAAGTCTTCAAGTTTAGGTCTGCTTCTTTTTGTAAACTCTTTGCTCCTTTGTGGTTTCCTTTCAGGGCATGAAAAGCTGGTTCCTCCAAGCTTCTGGTTCTCTCTTTTGATTTTATATTGGAGTGGCCAGATTGCTTTTGTCTTTAGGAGTTCCCACAGAGGCCCAAGTCAGATGAGGATTAGATGCTCTCAGACTTTCTCCTAAGGTGTGGATCCCTCCAGGAAAGAATTTGGCCTTAGGAATTTGGAGGTTGGACTGGCCTGGGAGCAGGGCCCAGGAAAGATGCTGGTCTAGGGCAGCTGGTGGCCATGCCACCCAGAGATGCAAAGGGAAATGGGGGCAGGAAGAGGCCCCAAGGGCTCCTGGGGACTGCACTGAGGAACTGGGTTGGTCCCAGAGAGAGGCCTGCAGGTCGGAGAATGGCCTGTGGTTGTGTAGGCCCAGGGAAGCAGAGGCAGTTTGTATTATTTTATTAATATATTACTATATATAATATATATAATTTTGAAACAGGGTTTCACTATGTAGCTCTTTTTGGCCTGGAACTCACTATGTAGATCAGACTGGCCTTGAACTCCCAGAGTTCTTCCTTTTTTTAAAAAAATATTATTTTAAGGACTATTTAATATAGAAATATTAAAATAAATACAGAAACAGAGGCTAGCATAATGAATCTCTTTGTATTCTTTATCAATTATTCACACTTTTCATTTTACTTTATTCCTCCAACCTTTCTTTTGGTTTCTTGTTACAATATTTTCAAAGTAGATTTAGGAAATTCTTTAAACTTAGTTCCCTAAACTTCACAATTTCACCTGCTATCACCCGGCCTGGAACCTGGTACATACACGTGGTCTGTCTTATCCATCTTTGAAATAAAATACTAAAAATGAGACTTTCCACAACCTTCCTAGCCAGGTGTGTGCTTGGAACACCCAGTCTGTGAGCCCCACAGGCAGATCTGTGTCTTCTGAAGCGAGGAATATACCAAGACCCAGTTCTGTCTTCCCCCTCAGAATGCTACTTGGTGTGGCCAGCTAACAGGCTTGTCTGGTGGTGGTGTGCAATAGAGGAATGAATGTGTGGTCTGATACCATATAGTTTATACCCCAGGATAAGTGGCAGGCAAACCTCAGTCTTCCTGGAATGGCTCTGACCAGTGAATGAACCTATCCAAATACTTACTTGGACATATTTTTCAATGGTCTTCAGTACTTCCATGTTAAACTGCTTGACAGGAACGACTGAAAGATCCATGTAGCTGAGCAGGCTGTAGATGACTTGGAGGAGCGGCTGTTGCATGCTGGGGAGGCCTTTCTCTAGCAACTGCAGGAGGTAACATGCAGCCAGTCAGTGCTATCATCTTTCCCACACCCTTATTACTCCAATGTGCTTAGGAGATAAAACAAAACCCTAAATATTGAAAAAATGATGGTGAAGACAATTTGGGGAGGTTTGAAGACACAAATAGAAAATTCAAATAGTGAAGAAATAGAAAATAGACCTCAAAAGGAAAAAAACTGTATGTTTTCAAAGTTACAAATTTAAAGATGTGATTTGTTGATTATCAAATTGGCGAAGATTAGAAATGGATAATATTCAGTATTGGTTAATGCTATGAGGAAGTGAGTATTCCATATATCAGTAGAAATATAAATCAGATAATTTAGCAATTGAGATCAAGACCACTAAATAGGCCTACATTTTGTTGTTGTTTTGGTTTTGATTTTTGTTTCTGAGACACTGTCTCACTATATAGTCCAAGCTGGCCTCAGAGTCGTTATCTTCTTACCTTAGCACCCAAGTGTTGGGCATATAGGCACGTGCCATCATGCCCACCTGAGGTCACTGGCTTTTGAAATTGTAATCATATTTTGAAATTGTAATCATACTTTTGGGAACATTTCCAAAGCCAGAAATAAATATTATGCTTCATGTGAGAGTTTGCCATGGCATTATTTATATAGTTAATAAAAAGCATACATGAAACAACATGATAAATCATTATGCAGTTAACAATGACATTTTGAAAGATGATAAAGGATATTAGATAATATTAAGTAAAAAAAGCCACATACATAATTTTCTACGTAATAGATGACACCAGTATTAATGTAAAAGCGTGTGTTATACAGAAATAACATTGGGGAAGAAATCTCAAAACACTGTCAATAGCATTTCTCTCTAAACATAATTTTACTGTATTTTTTCTTTCCTTTGAAACAACCTTTCTGTTTCTCTCCACATTTTCTGTTGTGAATATGTACTACTTTTATGACCAAAAAATGAAAGTTACCCAGAAGAAAACAACAAAAATGAGAAAATATAGGCATTATGATAAAAGTTTGCTGTTCAAGTTTAATGACAGAAATGATTCAAATAGACGTTGAAAGTTCACATCAAAAGAGGCCAAAGGAAATAACCAAGCAGTTAACACACAAGGAAACGAATAGCTCCATAAACCTATTGTGTGGGAAATGACCATGTTGACTAGAAAGGAAATACACAAAGAAAACAATGTGAAAGTGTGAACAGATTTAGAATGAAAAAGAGCAAACGGAATGGCAAAATTTAGGGGGATATGGGAAGACAAATATAAACATCATTCGTAGCACCATGAAGTAAGAAAATCTTTGCAAAGACCAATTCTCAGTTGTATGGAGCTAAATAACACCCATATATCCATATCCTTTGACTGTGTAGTTCTACTTTGGGAAATTGGATCATTTGCTACTATTTAACAAAATTATTTTGCAAAAAATCAAAGATCAGAGGCACAAGAGAAGGCTAAGCCGTTGAGAGCACATAGCGCTTGCTGAGGATACAAGTTCAGTTCCCAGCACTCACAATTGTCTATAGCACCTTCTCTAGGGATCTACCATCCTCTTCTGGCTTCTGTGGGCACTGAAACCCATACACAGATACATGCACATGCATATAATAAAAAGAAGCTGGGTGTGGTAGTGCATGCCTTAGTCCCAGCACTAGGGAGGCAGAGGCAGGTGGATCTCTGTGAGTTCAAGGCCAGCCTGGTCTATATAGTGAGTTCCAGGACAGCTGGGGCTATGGGGAGAACCTGTCTCAAAACGACCAATAAATAAATAAATAAATAAATAAATAAAAAAAAATTTTATGTATGTGTATTGCCTGGTTTAGTCCAGGAAAGTCACCAAAGAAAAAGAAATCTTTAAAAATCGATGATCATTTAATACATTATCAAATATCACTTGATAATGTGACAAAAGGTCAACGTAACAGGACTATTTGTAATAGAAAAAAAATTACAAACATAAGCAACAAAATGGAGAAAGTTGAGCAAAGTATCACATTAACTTGACAGAATTTCAGGTTCTTTGAAATACCACAAGTCACACATGGCAGTGCACACATAAAGTTAATATTACGCGAACAGAGCGGGTTCAGAGGAAAGCTGAGCACAACGACATATGTACATGGCCAAGACCTGGATGAATATGTGAGTAATTGAGCAGAAATCAATATATATTAAACAGCAGGAAGTCAGTGAATTCATAGTAATATTTTGGTTTCAAGTTTGGGATAAGGACTGAAGAGAGCAAATTAGGTACCACTTTTTTTTTTTTTTTGAGACAGGGTCTCCCTGTAGCCCTAGCTGACCTGGAACTCACTATGTAGACCAGGCCGTACTTGAAACTCACAGAGATCCACCTGCCTTTGCCTCCCAAGAGTTGGGATTAAAGGCGTGCACCACCACACCCGGCTTAGGCACCATTCTTATTATGGTGAAATGTATCTAACATAAACTTACATAAGTGGCATTAAGTGCATTAGAGTACTGTGCTGTTGTCACCATTATTTATGTCCACAACTTGCCCATCATTCCACACTGAAATTTTGTCTCATAAAATCACTCCATTACTAACTATCCCCTCTGGATATTCACTATTCGAATTCGCCTTTCTGTTTTTAGACAGGTGCTACATCTGTGTACCTCATATAAGTGGAATCATATGGACTCTGCCTTTTGTCTGGCTTATTTCACTCAGTATAATGTCCTTAAGGCTCATCCATGTCATAGCATGTGTTAGAATTTCTTCCTTTTAAAGACTGAGTAATATTCTACTGTACATGCAACACCACATTCAATTGATTCTTTTTTTTCTAAATATTTTATTATTTTTATATGTATGTGTGTATTGCTGTATGTAGGTAAGTGCACCCGTGTTGTGCAATGCCCACGGAGGTCAGAAGAGGCTGTTGGATCCCCTGGAACTGGAGTTACAGACAGTTGTTAGCTGCCATGTGGGTGCTGTGATTTGAACTCAGGTCTTCTGCAAGAACAGCTAGTGTTCTTAACCACTGAGGCATCTCTCCAGCCCCTCACTTGATTCTTTTGAAATGTTTAAGGTTAATTTTCTGAACAAATATTGTCCCTGTGTGGTCATCTTACACTTTTAAAAACAGGTGTCATATATTATTTACTTTTGCAAGCAGGGTGTTTGTATTGGTTCTGCCTATACTTCTTGAATGCTGAGGTGAGGGTGTCTTTGCTTACAGAGGATTATCAGAAGCAGCAGTATGGTCCCTATGAGAGGTGTTTAAAATGCTAGGCACTTAGATGTGAAATGAACAGATGAAGAATTGGCTGTTGACAGTCTGGGAAAGTCCATGTACTGATGATCCATACTTTGATAAGTCAAAATCTTGTGGAATCAGTGATAAATGTTGGATGGGAGGAGGTACTCTGTTACATAGGTACTTTTGGTGTTATAGAGCCTTTGAGAAAATGATATTTGAAGCTACCTAGAACTGGATAACAACATCAAAAGTCAGAACAGGTTGTCCTCTTTTCTTTGGAAATGACCCTAACCAGAGGCATGAAAGCATATTCCAGAAGGAAAAGGAAGCAAGCTATGTGTCATTAGCCATTTGCTCAGAGACCTCATGACCTGTATATTAAATTTGCTGGGCCTGGCTAGGCATGGTGACACACATCTTTAGTCCCAGTACTCATGAGGCAGAGGCAGGCAGAGCTCTGTGAGATTGAGGCCAGAGTGGTCTACAAATCGAGTTCCAGATCAGCTGTTACAGGGATACCCTGTCTCAAAAAAAAAAAAAAAAGAAAAAAAGTCAATAAATAGTGGGACTGGAGAGATGACTCAGCAGTTAAGAGCACTGGCTGCTCTTGTAGAAGACCAGGGTTTGGTTAGCAGCACCTACATGGTGGCTAACATTCCTTTGTTGCTCCAGTTCCAGGAAATTGGATGCCCTCTTCTCACCTCTGCAGGCATTGTACAACATGGGTGCACTTACATACATGCAGGAAAAGTCATACACATAAACAATGAAAATAATAAAATATTAAAAATGAATAAATAAAAAAAAATTTCGCTGGGCCTGGAGGTGCAGCAGAATACGTATCATCATTTGTCTTGTGAAATGCTATGACTGTCTAACCACTACTGGGTAGAGGCCAGAAGGGTTTGTGAAGAATGTACTAGCAACATTTGTATGATGTGTCCCTAGTTTTACAAGCATAAAGGTAATGATAAATATATTAGTTTATTTTAAAAATATTTTACTTTTTATTATAAATAAAAGTGACAGTGCTTAATTGCTGAGCCATCTCTCTAGGCCCTAAATATTTTATTTGACATGGTTATTTTAACGATGTATGCTTTGCTAACTAATTTCATGCAAACAACTACTAAACATATCAAGCCACATAGTGACTGCTTAGTAAGATCTGAACAGTCCTCAAGCTTCTACCCCTCAAGTGATGGGGTTGTAGGTGTGTACCATGTTATCCTAGAAGGTACGAGGGCAAACTTTGGAGGCAGCTGGACCTAGGGACTGTCACCTTATACTTAGAGCAGTTAACCAGGCTGAGCCTCCAAGAGTACCTAAATCCTTGGTTTGTTGTGAGGATTTAGGATGAGTCCATTAGCATCTATGATAATACATAACAGGCATTCAACATCAGGGCTTTATAAAAACACTAACCAAGGATACTAAATAGATGTTATCCTTAGCTCTACAGCTTACCTCTGCCAGGTAGGTGACCATATTCAAGGTGATGTCAGTGTATGCTTCATGCAGGTACCGACAGACCACATTGACCCACGTGGCACAGTCTCTTGTGTAGCTGTGCGTTTTGTAAAGAGTCATCACGTGTGCAAGATTTGAAAGTTTAGGATTTTTTTCTTCCAAGCAAACCTTTTAAGATAAACAAATCAATTAAAGTGTTTCAATGAGCAGGAAGAAAGTCAGTGCTTTGCTGTAAATTCTAACAGTCTAGAAAACAGGCTGGCACATTTTTTGGTACCACTTTTCAGAAGCTACAGAAGTGGTTTGTTTAGTAATTAATACATTTTCCCACAAATTCTTTCCACTTGCTTTTCTCTCTTTTTAATTTTTTTTAACATCTATTTATTTATTGTGTATGTGTGTGTGCATGTGGGTCATGGCACACATACAAAGGTCAGAGAACAACCTGTGGGAGTCAGTTCTCTCCTTCCACTATGTGGGTTCCAGGGATGGAAATCAGGTTGTCAGGCATCCTGTGAATGCCTTTAGCCACCGAGCCATCTCACTATTCCTCCCTTGCATTTCTTTCTTTTCTTTTTAAAATTGTTTTTGGGTTTATTATTTATTTTTATTTAATGTGGATAAGTGTTTTGCCTGTATATATGTACAAGCATCCATGTGATGCCAGCAGAGGCCAGAAAAGGGCATTGGATTCCCGGGAACTGGAATTATGGATGGTTGTTGGCTGTCATGTGGGTGTTGGAAACTGAACCCATGTCCTCTGTAAAAGCAGCCAGTGCTCTCTTAAACCCCAAGCCATTTCTCCACCTCTGTCACTTGTATTTCTTAACAATGAAAACAAAGAAGACAGTTTTCACCATCTGCCCACAGATGTACATTCCTAGTGGTACTGACTTTTGAGACAATCACTGTCTTCTCTGGGTTGTATAATTTCCATCTGGTCTTGAATGTTCCTGACAGCCTGTACAGACTTGCCTGTATGTGAAACCCTAATGCATACCTGAGCAATCCTTTCAGCTATATCCTTACAGAACTGATTGGGGTTTTCAAAATGCTGGATGAGTTGGGGCAGGAGACACAAAACGTTCAGTGGAAACCCTGGATGAGAGAAGACAGCATTAGTGGTGACAGCTGAGTATGTTATGTTTTTACTCACAACAATAGGCATGCCACAGATTTTATTTCAAGGTGATGGGAAAATGGTCCTTTAATTTTTTTGATTGATTGATTTTTCTTTTATGTGTATGTGTATTTTGCCTGCATGTAAGGGCACCATGCATATGCAATGCCTACAGAGGCCAGAAGAGGGTATCAGATCCCCTGGAACTAGAATTATGGATGGTTGTTAGTTCCCCTGTGGGTGCTGGGAACCTGAGTCCTCTGCAAGAACAGCCAGTGCTCTACATTGAGCCATCTCTCCAGCCCCGCCCCCTTTACCCCTTTTGTAAAATTTCTGAGCTAGAGTCTCCCAAAGACCAGACTGGCTATGTAGCAGGATGACCTTGAACTTCTGATCTTTCTGCCTCCGCTTCCTATGTGCTGCATCCTGATATGGACTGTGAGTAAGGGTGACTGGTGCAGATTTTATTGGCACAGACTAAACGGAGTTGAAGTCTTTGTTTGAAATTTTTATCAAAAACACATTTTAAAACTTAGTCACACTATTGGAAACACTCTTTAAAATAACAAAGAAAGGCTTGGTACCTCCGAGTTAAAAATCTAGTTCATGAAATGAATTCTTGGCCACTTGTCATGGTATTAAAAATAGGGCGTGCTGCTTTGGCTTAATTCAGAACAATAGGGAATGAGTGAATTTTTCAAGAGGAAAAGGAAAACAGATTTGGAACTAAGAAAAAAAAATGTACCAGGGAAATGGGCTCAGTTAACAGCACCTGCAATTTGATCTGGAAAGCACAAAGAAATCATTAATATAGTATATATAATTTCTGTCCCTTTCATCCTATTGCCTTAAAGCATTTTTATAAAATAAAGAATACTGTATTTTTTTTAACAGTACTGGAATTCAAACTCTGGATGTTGTGAATGCGAGCCAAGTGTTCTATCATGAACTACGTCCTCAGCCCCATTACACCAAATGTTAAAAGAAAAATCAAACTATTCTCAAAGAAACTTTCTTTAACAGAATTATTTTGAAAAGGTATGTGGGGGGTGGGGGAGGCAAGCAGGGCATGGTGGTGAATGCCTTTAATCTCAGCACTCAAGTGGCAGATGCAGACAGATCCCTGTGAGATCAAGGCCAGGCTGGTCTACATAGTGACCTCTGGGTGGACTGGGGCTACAGGAAGACCCTGTCTCAAAAAAAAGGAAAAACAAAAAAGGTGGGGAGGGTTTTTGCAATTATCTTATCACACTAAAGCTGAATGCAATTACCATCAGAACTGTAAGAATGAGCCATACAGGCCTTACCAATAGCTTGGGATGAGTCCACCATGGGCACTTTGGACACGGGTGTCAGCAAGCTGAAAAGCTGCAGGGTCAGGTCTGTGGTGGTGAGGGAAGTGAATCCTTTCAGAAGCAGCTGCTGTAACCCAGAGAAGTCAGCCCACTTGAGCTGCCCCTGGAGTTTCTCAAGCTTTTCTCGGTTCTCAGCTTTATCCAGAGGCATATGTGCCAGCAGTCGATTCAAAAGCCTTAAGGCCATTAGGTATTCAAACTCAAAATCAGACTCCATCAAGGCGACTGTGACCCAGAAGATGGTGGCCAGCAGGTTGGTGGGATGGTTTATGTGGGATGGGTCCGTGAGGCTATCCTTCAGGGAGGAATTGCTTCTGGGTTTTGAGGAAAGGCCTTGTTGGGTACAAGCCTGAATTCTGTCCAGTGTGGCACTTCGAGGTGGGTCAGAGGATCGGTCAACAACACCAAACTTCTTGGGCACAGAGAAGCTTCTTTGGTGCCGGCTGCGTTCTGCGGTTGTGGGGTTGCCACCAGCAGCCCCAGCGTTCATGTTCAGTTGTCCTGTGCTCTTCCTGCTAGCTGTGAGTTTAGTGCTGGAGCTTAGATCCGGTGATGAAGACCTGAGTACAAACAGGTAAGATCAACAGAGCATCTGTGTGCATCCCAACAGTCAGTTCACTGTCTTCTGAGAAACACCAAAGGAGGAAACCATTCTTTAGAAATATTACTTTTGACTAGCTTCTTTTAGCCTTAACTTACAGCTAATAAATCTTAATAAGAACAGTCTTCAGAAAAACAAAAACAAAACCCCAAACTGACTTCCATTTATTGAAAGCCTAAAAGCCCAGCCAGCAATTCAGTGACCTTTGATTTAGATTCTTTTTTAATTTGGATAGGAGTAATAATACAATAAAATAGACCCAATGAATGCAAAATTTACTTCTTCTTAGCTTAGAAGAATGGAAATGGAGATGGTGTTATCAAGAATCAAAAAATCAAGTACTCATGGCAAAGGAAATGTTTTTGCACTTATCAAAAATGGGGCTGGACACCTGTAGCTAAGGGAGACAACCAGCTATAGTTCTAAAATAATGGATGTTTGTTTTCTCCCCCTATCTAGAAGCCTTTGACAGAGAACTGACAATGATTCTAACCACTCCAACAGCTATCAAAATACCTGAAAGCAAATCCTGACTCCATCAGTCTAGAGCGCAGCCTTGGAAGACAAAAGAAAAATGAGGAGGAACCCAACAGAGGGATGCTTTTGGAAGCCCTTGTCAAGAAATTCCAATGGACTCTCATATGAACATTTGAAAATTGCCCTGGTCTAACTTTTTTTTAGCTTTCTGGCTCGAACTTGTAATGC